CAAGTTCGCTAGTGCCAATCACGGAACATTTTCGATTCGAGATGAGAGCAATCCTGCTAGTGTTGCGGTATTGCTTCGCGCATCGTACCATTCTTGATTGGATGTCTCCGAAGTGGACGACTTGAAGCTGATTTCTGTTCACAGTATATTTCCAAAGATATTGATCTGCCAATACAAGTGTTTCTGCAGAATTGACACCCCGGAAAATGGGGTCAGAAATCGGATTATGAACATGTGCCATGCACCAGTGAATTTGAATTAATCTTTTGCCCCACTTCGTTTACTTCGATCGCCAAGAAATTAGTTCCTACTTATTATGTTTGTCAGTAATCGAATGCGGGCGCGCATAAAAAATCACCTCGTTTTGACCAGCAACACCGTCGTGATCGGTTGATATCATGGGTGTATCGAATAATTCGAAAATATTCATCAAAATTAATATCGATGGATCAACTTCTTCATTGCGTTGCTTTTGTTCTAGCATCGTGATTTCACTCACGGGGTAAGTACATCGCGGAGATGAAAAGGGATTTGTTGCGGGAAGCACGCACGTTCCTCACAACTGGACGTGCCCATCACTTTGATCCGGAATCGTTTGTTTCTTCATGTGACGGCGTGCACCGAAGATTGGTCAACAGAGCGAAATTGTTGTTTAGGCTTGTGATCTTTGGTGCAAACTGCTCATCTCACTCTCTGACTGCTCGGTTACTTATTTCGGTGCCCTGCGCCAACCGTTCAATATGTATTTCAATGATAACAAACCGCTCGCTTGTGAAGACATTCGATACCTGAGATATTTTTTTCCAAAACGGCAACCAGTTTCATCATCCACAATCTATCCCAGGACAAGACCTTATATTTCCCATCCCCAATCTGGTTCATAGGGAAGAAAATATGTGCAAATTATCCATAACTGTGGCACGTTTCATTGGCTATGGATTTCACAGTCACCAAAGTGTATCATTCATCCACCGCAATCCTTTTTTCGGGCAGCTAACATCGATGATCAGTTCCAATCCAACGTTGCAGTGAAAATCTGCAATGTTTGTCAGTTTGAATTCAAAAGCTTGAATGATTTGTGCCCGCTTAATCAGATGATTCGAAATTTGTTGATCAGCGGATTTTTGCGGTCTCTTTTTAATGGCTTTTGGTCTACTTAGGCTGACTTAATAAAACCGGCCTCGAAAGTTCTACCCTGTTCTACCCTGGCAAATATTCGTCAAACTTCCTGTTGGTGAATAAGTTATTTGTAAAATTTTCTGATTATCCCATACGTTTTTTGTTGTTGTTTGGAATTTGCATATATTCATTCAGACCTTAGTCTCTATTTTGGCATCTTTTGTTGTCACTCCAATCCTTTGCACATACACTCTAAATTCTGAATTTTCATCTGTAGCAGAAATGTGTAGAGAAATCGCTCCTTCCTCATACCCCCCCTCCCCACACCGTGTCCGGTCCTTCTCCTCGTAAGAGGATCCGATATAGGGTAGCTAGCGGACTTCGTTTGAACTGTGTACTGTAAATTGTTGTGATGTGATTTTCCGAATTGATTAGTTTATTTTCGAGTGAAGATGGCGGTTCGCGTTTAGAAACCTTTTTAGCTGTTGCATTAGGTGTCTACTACTAATGTTATGATTCCACAAGGTGATGCTTGGTCGAAGGAAGTTGTTTATTGCAGATAACAGTTAGGATATCATTAATTTAACAGGAATTTCATTTGAAACATATCATCGCAGTTCCTGGAAGCACACCGCGTATTGTATGGAGCTGTCGGTAGTTATTCTTTGAGACACAGCACTTTGCCCACGGTGGTCCAGTTAATCTTTGATCGTTGAAAGAAACCACCCACTATTTTGCAAACAACTCACAAATGTGAAAAGTACCGTACGACACTAAGAAAGCTGTGCNGCGATCGGCTTGAGTAATCATTGATTTGTTGTTTGTCGCGCGATTATGCCCGTTGCTGGGTGCACTTGATTGCGGTTTTCATTTCTTTTTTCATCAATTAACACAATTTATTTCAGGTAGAATATTGTGACCAATCAAAGGCTACCGCGAGACAGAAAAGAATAAGGAAGTCATGTGGTGAATTTGGTCGTGTACAGAACAAAAGAGACGTGAACTGAAAACCTGCGATGCTGGTTCGCGCCGTTTCGATCGGTGGCCCTGTNATATGCTCGCGTTCTACCCCTGAGGTCTTGGGTTAGATCCCCATTTGGTTCGATAGAGTCGCACTGTTGATGAGACTCAACCAAGTCGAAACAGCTATCCAGTGCCTCCTAGCTTTTTCTCTCACGCTTCATTTGCACTATACACGACAAGACTTCCAATCATAAAATTGAGCAAAATTCTTGCCTGCTCTCATTTCAATACGCATGCATTGAGTTCCGGAGAAGCTCCGGTCCAACGTTCACCTGTGTGTTCCGCCTAATGACATTCTTACCGCAGTCATATGCATCAAACTGATAGCCAGTACTAATGAAGGTTTTTCTATGGATAACTGCTTACCGCTATCTTTTCGAGTCAGTCAACCCTCAAACACCTCAAACGAACGTACGAAAACGGGGTTTTTCTCAGTTACCTTGTACTGGGTGATTCACCGCACATCGATCACCAAGCGTTGGTCAAATCTCACATTTTTGTTCTAAAATTTTCTCCGCACGATTTCGCGAAGGTTTTTCAAGAAGAAGCAGAACAACAACAACAACAACAACAATGACATGCCCATTTCAGGAGCATAAGCATGTCTTTTGACAATAACCTCTAAATAGAAAACCAGCTTCGCCAGCCATGAAAAATTCTTTTGATGACTATTCTGTCAGAGCCGAACATTTGCAGCTGCCTCGAGAGCCACGTATGAGAAATCGTTGAAAATGACCTATTTCCAGTAGTACGGTGTGAATTCACTGAATTCAGTACCGCCAAGTCATGGGGACGTGAATGAAAAAAGAAGTTCCTGGGTGAGCACACACAGTTTATGTCACAAAGTGTTGTACAATTTCTATTTAACTTGATTTCAGTTTGATTAAAATCAACAATTGCGCAGTCGTTGTTGACCGCGGGAGCTACAGCCGATCAGAGGGTATCAAGGAGATACGCAAATGAAGAGTTGGACGGTGGTGAACTACTACCCATAATTTTTTAGTAATAACTCAAAGCTTCGCAGCCTCCACTGTTAGCTTTTAGCTCTGCCCCGTCACTAGGCCGTGAGCGCTTGAAGCTCAACGTTCAATTGTGCTCATATGCCTTACCTATACACAGGCGTAGACACAAACACAGAGAGGCACGAACGCACATTTCTGATCTGGACTATGCAAACGACACTATGCTACCAAGTTCAGATCCAGGTAAGTTGCAAGCCTTTCTGGATAGTTTGAACGCTAGTGTAACCAAGTTCGGTGTGCGTTTTGCACCTTCAAAGTGTAAGATATTACTACAAGACTGGGTTGGTCCAGCACCCAGGCTCACTCTGGCTGGGGAAGTAATAGAACAGGTGGATAAGTTTTGTTATTTGAGCAGTTATATCTCATCCGGTGAATGCATCACGGATGAAGTGTCAGCTCGTATGCAGAAGGTTCGATTGGCATTTGCTAACTTGCGACATCTATGGCGCCGTCGCAATATCCGGCTGTTTGTGAAGAGCCGAGCGTATGCCAGGGTATTTCGGTCAGTTCTGCTGTATGGCGTGGAAATCTGACCACGAAGTAAACAGGATAAAGATAGACTGTCGGTGTTTAAACACCGTTCACGCAGCATTGCACGAATTTGATAGGACAGTCGGACAAGCAATGCTGAGGTCAGGCTCAGAATTTTAGGCAGTCTCGGTCGTCCACTGGAGCAAGTGATCGATCTCCATAAATTACGTTGGTTGGGGCATGTGTTCCGCATGTCACTAAATAGGCTTCTACAGCGAGGGATGTTTACCGAGGCCGTTAGTGGGTGGAACAAAGCCAGGGGTGTTCAAGCTAAGACCTGGCATGAGAGTATGAAATCCCTAACCAGAGTCCCGTTAGGCTCCCTGGCGGGGGACCTCAGGATGATCGTAACCGATGGTTAGAGACACTGAGTGATATAGTTGGGTGTCGTAACCAATGGCGTTCGTGCATCTTCTCAATTTCTTTACAGCCCTAGTTTACTGGATTTATCAATTTTCTCTTTGAATCTACCCTCCTGTTTTTCTCCTACTGTTCGTCCAAATGGGTAGCCAAAAGAGAGCAACCAAAACCGGCGCACGAAAGTGCATGGTTAATGGTTGTACAAACTGAAAACTGAAACGTTTCAGTTGAGGCTTCTGTCCCGTGATCCGTGTGCCCAACGAATGGTTGTCAACATGTCTTGACTGGGTCGTTTTCCGCAGTGTGAAACAGCGTCAAAAAAGCTTTCGCATCGGATGAAAGTATACTGCTGTTGGTTGTTGGTACGCGACTTTATGATATTCAGTGACACAATAAATACTGTGGCTCAAAAACCATGGTCAAAGGCTAAAGAAGCCATCCAACAACGGTTGGATGATCCCCGAAAACACTGTACTCAGTCCATACAATTCGTAACTACCCTTTTCAGGTGCAAAACGAGATCCGCGGTCAAACCGCAATAATCTAAGAACAATTGCTCGTCACCGTGTTTGTGAACCGACTGCGGATCACGTAACCGTTTCATGAACCCCGCTCGATTTTCATTCGATCGTGTTTGTGTACACTCTTTCGACGTACATGTCAGTCAGTGTGTGTGTGTGTATGTGCGTGTACGCACGTGCGGTCACGCATTTCTGTGTGAGTGTGCGTGCGTGCCGCCGCATGAAATTGATGAATTTTAAATCACGTGCGAGTTGCAGTTCTGTTTGTTCTTGTTTCGACGTTTCATCATCACCCCGAACTAACAAAAACACATACACGCACACACATACCTTGTAGTCTCCCGCCAACGCGTGTGATCATCCGCCGATCGATCGGCTAATCCGCGGTGAAGGAGACCAATCCAGGAGTCAGCAGGAACATGCCATGAGAACCGTTTCAGATGTGTTGTTTGCATCGCTAGAAAACGGTCGGACCGATGAACGAAAGCAGCGGACAACTAATACGTCTATTGTGACCACAGCCAAGTTTCATCATCATCAGCCCGGCTGCCACGAGGGGGATTATGTGCCGCAGGTGCCGAGCGTTCGTAACAAACTGGATGATAAACTGAACAGTGTGCCGGATCATTTATGCTCGCTTTCGCTACACCGTGACTCTTCCGTGCATCCGGATCTGTCGAACGACAGTGTGTTCCAAGACGACGGTCCAGATCAGTCAAATCCGGGTGTCAATCCCTACCAACGCCCCGGTCGAGTGTCCTACGATAGTCAACCGTCCGACAACCGACAAGCTATTCCGTCCACAAATTCAACGGAATTTTCTCTCAGTGGTTCCGTGATTGATACGGCCTCTCAGCCAGATCTGTGTGATTCGGAGCTGAATGAGAAATCCACCGAAGGTAAGAGTTCTCTTTTGCTCTCTGCTTAATGTCCTACTCCGTCATCCCGGATTTCGGTTAATTTATATTAGTTCTGAAACAACCTCAAGTTATTTAGTTATATGAAAGTGGTTCAGACTGCTCCCATTTATCATGCATTTGCACTAACGCGAAAGAGCTTGGTTTGAAAGATGAAAATAAATACTCAACTGGGGAATTACACATACACACTTCAAGTTTTCGGTTATTCTATGCACAACTGGATTTTTGACCCAGATCCGAATTGTTCGCAACGCTCCCTCTTGTATGACTTCCGTGTATTTATCTGTTGGCTTCCATTCGCATGGTTAATCCATAACAACCGCGAACCGTGGTTAATGTCTAACTTGTTAAATTGAGATAAATCAGTCGTTTACCCTCAACACAGAAACAGCATCCTCCCTTACAATACTCGCTTTTCAGTGAACCGGAAATCAATTATTGTAGATGTGGTGAAATATCACATGAGTTAATTTCTTTAACCATTGCTATCGTGATGTGAACTCAAAACTGGCAAAGAAGATTGTTGTTAGTGTAAATTAATCCTAATCCTAATCATACATAAAATCATTTACGTAAAGGGATTTAAGAGGGAAAGTTGTTAAAATCTTCAACAGATTGCAACATAATTGGTCCCCACTTTACATGTTGTCTGGTCTGCATTCGTTAGGAGTCAGTTATCATTTGCTCTGAAAACACGGTTTTCCCGTGACAAATTTGAACAGAGAATTCAGAAACATGGGTTTGCACAATGTATCAATGGTCATTTCACTACACCTGTACACGTGAATACTGCAGTCAAAATGATTTTTATGGTCATTGAGATAATAGCTGTGAGACGAAGACAAGATCGATAATCACAACAGACAACACTACACAACAACACAAAGAAAGGGGACGAGAGAGGGTAGGGGGTCAATCACCAGGGCAAATCTAATGTCATAACCATTCATTTTGTTCGATTATTACATGACGTGTTGTATGTTGGCAATCCGGCCATGGGAGCATGACTAATTGCGCAAATTGCTTTTGAGCACACAACCGGGGTTGGGGGTTGGAGACGGATACCGACTGCCTCCGCTGTAGTTAGGATACGGTAACGGACATGCCTAGACCGTCCCGTTTTACCTCTGTCGCAACGCTTCGGTCACGTTTACGGTGTGAGTAGTGTCGACCAAGTGTGACAAATCGACACTATTCTGTTCTTCCTCACAGTGTGCTCTTGTTCTGTTTACCCTTCTACAATAATTTGTGTTTTCCCCACTTCCACTGTATTATATTGAAGATCACTGAAAATTCACCCTTCAGGTGCACAAAGATTATTTTGATTCAAAAGTGCGTTCCAACGATTGCCTGTGCGATTTTCTCTTGCGTTGAATTCATGTCGGTTGGAACATCAAAAATCTGTGCATGTTGAGTCAAATAGATTTGAATACTCATTGTTGTTGTTGTTGTTATTATCTTCGTTATTATTATCGCTGTTGTTGTTGGGGTGTCAAAAAACGTACCCTATCGTGTGACGCGCATTCACGTCATGCATCAGGACGGTCCGATGAACCCGATAGAGAGGGGTATTATGCCGGGTTGGATGGATGAGTGATTCGTCTCGGTAGCGGTCATGCACCAGCAATCTTTGGAGATGAAATCACACAAACGCACATAGTCAATCTGATTCAGTTCATCACTCTTGCTCGCCTCGATCCCGATAAGTTCACTCGGGCGCGGATGAGATGAGAAATTTACAGTATCAAAGTGTTGAAAGAACCCAAGATTTCACTCGATTTTTGCTTGCCTGACACTGAGAGATAGAGACGGATTCTTTGCCTCCTGCTACCTCGAACTAGTTAGCCCAGTTTGGGGACGAAGAAAATGCGCTATGGTTGGGTAAGTCGGTAGTCCGTGGATTAGGTCTATGTATGGGTGTCGTCAAATCAGTCCCGCTCTTCATCGCCTCATTAGGTATTTCACCGTCAGGGAATTATTTACTGTTTATGCCTAATAAATCATCGTACAAAATTCGTTATGATCAAGGGATAAATCCATGTTTTGCGCATGGACACAATACTACTTCAACCACAATCGGTGGATGTTCTGGACCGTTGATCACCGGAGCCTTTGGTTGATCAAAGCCAGAACCACAAGGTATTGAGGCGGAGAGTGACAGCCTCAGTAGATTGAGTCGAGTCGCATACACCCTTTTGTGTGTGTGAGAGAGAGTGTGTGGTTCACGTAAAATGAAACAAGCACAAAATCTGTTGACAGAATAGTAAGTACATCGGCAATAATGATCACATGGCTGCAATTTAATGCAACCACGTGACTGAATCATTGACGTGATACTTAAACAAAATTTCGATTATGTGGTGTCCGGGGCTGAATAAATTCTCTAGGCCAGCAAACGATGGAACCACGTGAGATGAAATTTTACTTGCCCGTGCGCTTTAAATGACTCCGGGGTTTTAGCTGACAATTGGCACTCAGTGAATTCAGTAGCATGTTTTTTCCACCGAAAACGAAACTAGTTTGTGGAGTAATGCATCTAACTTGCGAAATGCGCTTTATGGATTTAGTGAGCATTTAATCATCCTTTTGGGTGATGAAACACAGACGAATGATTACGATAAGCAGTGCATTCATTTCCCTTCCCCGAATTTATGAGTACCGAAAGAATAAATGTTACCTTTTTTCTTTTTACTCATCATTGTATGACAAACAGGCTAAAGATCAATACCCATAACCGACTATCAGCCTCTGGTAAACAGCCATTTGAAACTTATGACAGAGTGGCCAACCACATATGGAGGCTTACCAGGCTAGGCGTCTTGAGTAGCCAAACGAGGGACTGGTTGGGGAGTTTTCAATAAAAACCAATTGCCGGAGGCTATTTGAAATCCGATCGTTAACTAACCTCTGCATCATTATCGAAGTTCACCTAATCACTGGGGTTTAGAAGAAAAAGCAGGGGCCAGCGAATGCAAATCCCATGCTTTTGTGAAAAGCTCTGATAAGCAAAAGATACCACGGAATTAGGCGGTATATGGAAACTTTTCACCCCCTTCATTATTTCCGGGGGTGATTCATACATCGAGAAACCAACCAAACGGGAGACGTAACTAACGAGTTAATGTTCGCGGTCAAAGCATCCGCTGATTCCCGCAATGATTGTCAAACTGATGACCAGTGTGATGTGGCGAGCAAAACGTTCGATTTCGGACGCATGTGGGTAGAACTGTGCTGGATGGAACAAACGCCTCCGGCAGACCTAGGGTCTCTTTATACGTCGAACACCACATAGACTAACGGGATCGCCCCCCGTGTGATGTCACTTATGATCAGGACGTAAAAGGCGGGATCGTCGCATGTGCACATGTCTGTCTACCTGGGGAATGGAATGGGAACTCCGTTTTTCCTATCCTCGTAATTATTCTGTCCCTTGTGCAAGAGGATGCTGACTCATCCCTCTCATGATCCAGGAACATTCAGTTTTCTCTAAAATAACATTTGGTCAGTTTTGAAACTAAGTTCGATTGGATACTCACCACTCGAGAAACGGCCATGAAGATCTTCCGAAAACTGAAATTTTGCTTTTTTGCAATCGGTTCGTAGTTTCTAGGGGTCTCTCACCCCAGAAACGTTATATATGCACATATCCTCGGTCGATTCGGCATCTGTCTTGAACTTTACAAGTCTGAGGATTTTGTTAGACAATATCTTGTATATATGCAGCGTCAGACCGTGCTACCTCTATTGTAGTCCATAAACAGAGGATGAAAGTAAACGATCAAACAGTATGAGTTGTTCACCCATTGTCTTGTAGTTCATGACTTCGATCCCCGATTTCGTGATCTTCCTTATCGACCTTGTCTGGTGGCGTCCTCCAGTCGTCCTCATCCCTCCTTCCTGGAAAAATCGGTATGTGTGGCTGGATCCAAAAACCCACTCATGAACGGCGCCCATGTCTTGGTACAGCTACGAGACCACATCAACAGCATTGGCCTACACCAATTAGCTTCGCTCACGCAGCTTATGGAAGCAGGGACACCCGCCAGTTGGCATGCAAACTATCTACCCTGGCAGATTCGCCCTATAGTATCCACTGTAATTCACCGAATGAATTGTAAGAACAGTGCTGTTGATGTGGCCCCGACTCTGAGTGTTAGTGGGGTTTGCGCTGTACAAACGCGCAACAGGTGTCCATGCTTGGATGCGATTTAAAACACTGAAACTGTTGGCAATTTTTTAGTCTAAACACAAAAAGGTTCAATTGAAAGGTACTTGACGTTACAATTGCAGAGATCATAGACTTATCATCACTGGCAATCAGTTTGGAGGTATTGAGTTCACTTACCGTGTTCACCTGTGGTTTGTTTTTCATTTGAACACATTGTGCGATCAATAACCTCTCACACTTTCGTCCAACGATTTATTTCACTTTTTTATTTCCAAACGACAATCGATCAATCATGAAAAAACGTCAGTGGGTGAAACAAACTTATGTGAATCGTAACAAAACAAAACTGCAGAAATCAAGTAAACTAGATACGTACATAGATGTTAATGTATCAACGTTTACGACACTGCGCCATACCATCCGATGTTTCCAACTAACCATAAGGGTTGTTTCCGAGGTCCCCAATCAGGAGGTCTGTGGGGATCTTTTTTGACTGAGTATCTCTCTCTGCTTTGCCATTGTTTACATACTTTGATACCAGGTTCTACATTTCACCAACCCATATATTCTTACACCCCCTAACTACCTCGGCAAACATTGTACTCTGAGGAAGTCTCTCCTCGGATGACCTGCATCACTCATGCTCCTCGGCCACCGTTATCTGTAGATGTCGAGCATAACTTGTGTCAGTGCATGATCTAACTTGTCCTCTCACTCTACCTGACTATAGAGTTGTCTTATATCATATCCATCTATATCGTATTTCTACGGCGATTCGAATGAAACTTCACATCCAGGCTCAACCATCAAAATTTGTCTTCCTCACTGTAGCCCGACTCG